TTAATCTCTCGTAGTCTTCTTGTCCTGCCGTATCCCATAATGCGACATTATATTCCTGGTCATCCACCTTGATAACTTCCGCGTAATTTTCAAATCTGAAAGTTAGCCACTATACCTACACTTGGTGCAGTTAAACGTTTTACACTTACACTGTCGGTACGTACTCTTCGGGAAATTGGTTGTCTTTGTACGAAATCAACAGACACGTTTTTCCAACCATTCCATCACCAACGACTGTAATTTTGACATGTTTTATTTGCGAACCCATTTTATAAGTACTCTAAAAAAATGCGAATAATATGGCCTTGCACACTATTTGCAGTTAAAGCACATTTTATGATTATTACGCTGGTTTAAAGAATGCGGTATGCAAAAATCACATTTTACGTTTATCTAACGGAAAGTGAAAAATGGGGCGTTTCCAGGAGTGAGTAAATTCCTTTTATCACAATTTACACTAAAAAAAATTAAATCCGCAAGTACCGTTTCGAAAAAAGCGCGCACGTAAAAATAGACTTCATGCTTGTACTTTTAAGCTGGTAATTACAGACTATCCATCCGAATGAGCCGTGATGAGAATTCAAGAGGTAATGACTATCACTCAGAGGAAATTCTTATCAGCACGTTATCTAATCTCACTTAGGACAATACTCACTGCTTTTTTAGCCCGCGATAAACGACAATTTTTGGTGTTTTTTTAAATACCATTTTATGAAAACGCTCGCACTAATTCCATTCCTCGTATGTTTTTTTGTGCCTTTTTAAATACTGCACAGTTTCCTTTGATCTTTGTGAATGGACTCGCGGTTCGTGAGTCATTACAATTATTGTATTTATTTAATGAGCGGTCATTTGCGATGTCATAATTTTAAGTGGCCGCGCTAAGCTTTGAGAATTGGGCCATTTTTCTCCCGCATAAAACGCGACTTACCTACTGAAGTAATTAAGACGGTTTTGGGTTCATTAAATTACAAGCACGCGAGAGTTTACCTTTATTCAGTATCGCGCGCGTTGCTCTTGTCGGGACCGTCATAATTAACATAATTCTGCAGTAACAATCCGGAAGTTACATGTTAAATACATATTTATAACCTCTAAGAAGAAAGAGCAACACTTTTATAAGTCTGTCTGAATTGGAATAGGCAAAGTAGCTCAAAATAAGTAATAGAACCCTATAGATAAGATCAAAGCAGAGTAGAGATAAGTACACCAACCATTTTCGCTTTGCGAGTGCCCTTTTAGAGGTTTGGCCACCAATACCCACTCGCCTTTAGTCCATCCGTCCGGATAGCTGTAGTTTGATCAAATTTTAATGGAGAAGCGGTAATCACACTTTCAAAATGGACCAGACAAGACAAAATTTAGTTTAGTAGCTGCATACTTGCCTCCTTTACCTCTCTGAGACCTCTATAGATTAAATTATTATCAAAATAAAACAATATAACAAATTCTAAATATTTCAAGAGTTAATAATAAACTAGTATAAACTGTGCACAAATCTTGTGCAAATAAAGCGCATTTTTTTTTAACCGAAATAGCTTAGTTGGGTACTTGGTACTAAGGCATTGAATTTAATAGTTATAAATTCAATGGTAGTAGCAAGCTATATTTATTCATGTTTACCTTCCTGCTAGATGATTAGGTAGTGGGGAGGTTTCTTTTACACATAAACATTCAAAGGCCGCCTAGTATATGTACATTCAAAATCTACGCCATACAGTGCGTTCGAAATGAGAGGGTTACATCTCTTTTATTTGGAGCAATAAGAAAATTTATTAAATATAATTTTATATGTGACATTATCTATCTGATCGCATATTCAAACTTCTGGTGTAACCGGAAATCGATGCAACTTTGTTTTTCAAATGAAATGCCTATATTTTTTACGATATTTCAAAAGAGCAATCAATTTGCTATACGACAAAATAAAATGTGCATTTGGTTGATATACAAAAAAATAGAGAAATTTGTTTTTCGCGAAGGATCTACGAAGCCTTAGTATAGAACACGGCATGCTAGATTTTATAAATTTTCTAAATATTGCATCACGAATTTCTCCATTTTTTTTACATTCACCATATGCATATTTTATGTTGTCATACTCTTTTTAAATATCGTAAAAAACATAGTAGCATTTGAAAAACAAAAGTTGCATCGATTTCCGTATACACCAGAAGTTTGAATATGCGATCAGATAGATCGTAATGCTACCTATAAAATTACATTTAACAAATTCTTCGTATCTCGCCAAATAAAAGGCATATTGAGGTGGCCCTCTTATCTCGAACGCACAGTATATTGCAAGATGAATGAAGAATTCCCCAAAATATTGTTTTTCCCTTTGTATGTACAGGTATACTCTCCTCCAACATTTTCGGGGTATCACAATTAACTGTTGGTAGTATACTTTTTAGAATTCCCCGTGTTATGCATGTTCGGGAATGAAAAAAAAATGTCTCCATTACCCGAATTTTGAGGGCGGTCGCCATCGAAAAATTTTTTTAATGACAACATGGGTCATTTAAATTCTTTTTCATTCCGATATATGTTTAACATGTCTCTTTAAAGTCCTCCAAAATGCAAATCAATGTGTCGAACCATGTTCCTTTACTATCAGATAATGAAAATCTAATGTTTTTCATTAAAAAAAATTCAAATGTTTACATCACTAGAAAGAGACAAGAAGACGCTTTCAAATGATGACACATGGCCCAGGTTATCACCAAACAAATGCAAAATGGCGGCCGCCCTCAAATTTCAGCAGGAGAGCCTTGTCCCATTACTTTTTACCTATACCCTGTATAGATGTGCTTATTCGAAATGATTCAATTTAAGTAAAGCACGTATTTACCCGTTTAATAGTTATGCCATGGTCATACCTCTGAATGTACATAATCAACGACACCCATTTACTCCCCTACCGACCCCCTGGAATCCTCCCGCCCCCGTGGGGAACCCGTGGACTACACCAATAGATGCGTCTCGTCCAGATGATTCATTTTGCCTCTTTGTGAGTACTTTTCCCCGTATTCGCCTTTAAAGTTTATCACCAAGGGGTATATTTCTTCCAGGCGTCCCGATCCCTTCCTTCGGCAATCCGCTTTTGAGATATAAGATCTGATCACGGTATGGGGTTGAGGAAGAGGGGTATAGTTGGTAGGAATTCATTTTTTCATCGAGACCTTTCTTTAGAGTACCATGAAGAATAAAGTCAGTGCCCCCCCCCCCATTTCCTTCAATTTTGATAAGGGGTAAGAGATAATGGCGGTAGTTAATTGAAAACAGTTACTTTCATTGAGACCTTTAATTCAAATACCGTGAAAGATAAAATGAAATTCGACCCCCCTCCCCCTCACCCACTTATCTACTTATCTCGAAAAGGTGTCGCGCAGGAACGTTATAATTTGTAGAAACCAATTTCTTTCTACGTGACCGTTCATTAGAATACCATGAAGGATAATACGTGCGCTTACCCATCGCCCCCCCCCTCCATTTTCAAAATTGTTAAAGCGCACGGCTAGGGGCATGCGTATACAAAATCTGAGACAAATTAATTGTCCCATGGCTTTACTTTCAGAAACAGAAATAATTAGGGGGGTGGCCTCCCTTAAGACAAATTTGATGGCCGTCTGGCACACCTTAAAATTATAGGCTACCAATCGCAAAAAAATTCCAGAACTCTAGAACCATTCACCTAGAAGTAGTTCAAAACGGCAGAAGTCGGACGGACAAAAACGCAATTCTTAAAAAAATGCGCTAAAAATAAGGGATGGTGTGGTTTTAGAAGTATTTTGATGTGATTGACCTCAAAACTAGTCAACAGCGACAGTTATTGGTGACGCAAGATATATGAGGTCGCGCAGACGCTGACCTATACCTGTTATCGCTTCCCCTAACAGCTCATTCGTTGGCGAAAGTTTAAGCGGTGCGTTGTGTCCATATAGCGTTGTTCCAATGGTAAAATGGGGCGAATGGCAAATGTTTTTCCTTGAAGAGACTCAACTAATAAGGTGAGTTTTTATTTTTGTTTAATTAGGATGCATGTAAACCGCAAAACCACTTCTACTCTGAACGCCAAAACGACAATTTTGATCAAATACAAAAATGTGACTAGACTATATTCAAAAAAATAAATGTGGTTTTTTGAATCCGCGTTTCTGGTCCTTTTCTAGTACCCTGATCGTAACAGCATTAGTCAATTCTACCACGTCAGAATTTGAATTTTGGTTGCTCATGAGGTGACGTAAAAACCCAAAAAAGTAATTATTCGTAAATGCGATTCTATACATTTTTCTTTATCAAAAACTTTCCAAAGTGTGTGTGTTCATTAGAGATAAGGACGTTAGTTATTAACAGATGTGCCGTTGAAGTAAACTATCTAAAATGATGACATTTTTACTAAATAAAAATAAATTTGCTTGCTTTTTATTAAGTACAGTTTCAAATTGCATATTTTTTATGTAACTGGGGGCGGATTTTCCAAAATGTTTAAAGAACGGCAAAGGTTGGCCAAAAAGAGACTGATTTCTAAGCACTATTTTTTTGTACCTACAGAAACGCTAATGGGACTTTCATAAATTAAAAACGAATACATGTCGAATAGACCAGACATTTTAAAAATTTTAATTAAAATTGGGTACTTTAAAGACTTAAAATAGTACAATTCCAAATCAGGTTTAAACTTCGTCTCGAATCGGACGAAAAATTTAGATGTGATGTTCTAAATGCCTAAAAAATGGTATACTTTTTGTGACGTGACGACATCTTCGATTTTTTCATTTTTGACTCTTTCAAACTCTTCAGCTTTCCAATTCATTTACCAGAAGCTGTGAAGCAGCCTTGATTTTTTTAGAATTCGTGGGTTTCGGTTTTTCTGGCATCTTCTGTTGCTTTTGTTGAATTCGTCACTTGTCTCTCCTTCTACCGGCGCGACATTTGTATAGATCTTCAAAATAATTCTTCCGAAGGAGAATCAATAGACAATTGATTGTGGGCCGAAGTTGGTCATTAAGACTGCAACTGCAAAAAACGATGTTACATTATATCCTTCTAACGGGCGATCAAAAATGAGTTGCTGTCGAGTCGCCTTTGGAATTTTAAGTTAAGTACGATTTGCCATGTAAACAAAAATTCCAAAAGTGACTCGACAGCAACTCATTTTTGATCGCATGGTAGTAAATAAGACAGCGATTCCTCTGATTTAGTGACAGTCTATTTAGGATAAGAACCTAGTTCACATACGTATTTTGTAGTGTCATTTTTTATTTAAGAGAACAAATGGTTTTTTTTTCCTTTAAATTATGTATTTAATAAATAATAGCTTTTTAGTTATTTATTAGACAAGATGATAAAGGGTCGTTTTAACCATCGAGTGAAAGTTATTTCACGAGGTGGTTAGTTTCGCTGTAGCTGTATAACAGAAAACTTTATAGCAAAAGCCACATGCTTCTGAAAATTCTATAGGTATTTAATTTAGACGTCCAAAATAGCTTCCGCGTCACATTTTTTTAAGAAAGCCAGATGCAATTGGAATGCACAATGTTTGTTTCATTTTATTCTTACTGTTAAATGAATAAAATATGAAGGAAACGCTTCGACTTGTAAGTTTCAATATAATTAAATAATATATAATAATACTGCAATCGGTTCTCGACTACTCGTCTTCTTTAGATGCTTAGTCAGCCGCTGTTTTTTCTGTGTCTTTTCGGCATCTTTCCCTTAGCGTTTCTTGGACATGTTGAAATATTTCAAGTTTTTCTATGTTTTTGAGAGATTGATAATTCTTGTTCCATTATCCCTAGCACTCTCATGATAGTCTTTGAGAAAAAGTGATAAATCTTCGTAAAGTACTGGGGGTATTCCAGACACCCCCGCCCCCCCTATTGGATCTCCATGCGGGTTATTCTTCACTGATATTCATTTAGAAGTAGACATAGGGGTTTGTGTGTATTCTTTTCCCTATGTCTACTTTTAAATGACAACCCCTCTTCTGAAAGACGCCTAATTTTATGCAACCAAAATAATTTGTTAAAACAAATGAAGATCTGGCTGTCATATTAATTAATATTATTGTTTTGTCTTCCGTATTTTTATTTTCGTTTGTGGGAGATGTATTCAAATGAAGAAAAAGTTGATATTGTAAATTGGTAGAGTGCCGTAAGAGATATATTCTGTGTTGATCACTTTAGTGGTTGTTTAAATGCAATTCACATAAAACACCATAAACAACCCTCAATTTTAACGGAGGATATGAAACTAAATGTTTTAATTTTTGTGGAAGAGAATCCCATATAGCAGCCGAACTTAATATCTCTTCATCATAACCTAAAAGCATATTATTTACTGTCGCTTTTATTAAAATCCAGTATGACAGTGCAGAATGCGTGCGCATGTCATTTTGGTTGCATAAAATTAGGCGTCTTTCTGAAGAGATTTTGTCATTTAAAAGTAGGCATATGAAATCGCCATATCTACTTCTAAATGAAAAACGAGGGATCGATAATTCTTTCTCCGCTATCCCTAGCAGTCTCATACGGTAGTCTTTTGGAAACAGTGATCAAATCTTCGTAATATGTTCACCCAGTCTTCAAGACTCATGTTAGTTTTTGGGAAAGGACTATCAGATCTTCCTTTTTTTACGGGGTATTTTATACTTCATAGGATTGTGGTTCAAATCTTTGTAATATGGTGCGAAATACTCCCCACCTGCCACCGGTGCTACATTTTCCCAGATAAGTGCTCACAGCCTTCAAGATTTTTGATAGTTTTTGGGAAAGGACTATCAGATCTTCTATATTCTATACTCCACACTAAACATTGTAGTACTGGGTGATCCTGGGAGTAGGGAATATTCCCCAGCAAAGCAGCGCATGATAATTCTCCATTTTACCCGGAGATTAGCGCTCTCGTGGTAGTTTTTGGGAAAGGACATTCGAAGTGTTTTTGCTACTATACAGGCTTTTTTTATAGGCACACCCTTTTTCTGACTGTTTCACAGAACTCTCCTAGGGCTGGTTCTACAATGCAGGTACCTAGCATAAACGTCCACGCGCGTCAACCAATGGGATACTTGTTGCTTTGGTAGTTATTCCAAGAATAGCGATATTCTGCAAATAGGCGGCCCAGAGGATGTCAGTATATTAAACTCTTTATCTATACTCGCTGTGTAGGCTAGTCAAAATAGGTGGTTAAGGTAGAAAAAATTAGTAACAAAGTGATCTCTGCGGAAATGAGTACCCAATAGGGTCCCTTATTAACCCCTCAAAAATCGCACTTTGTCGCATTGGTGGAACTTGGAAAAAAATGGCCGCCATCTTGATTTTTTCGAATTTATTAAATATTTCGTAAAGTATACATTATATCAAAAAAACTCAAGAGACTTTTTTTATGGAGAATCAAAAGTTAAAATACGCAATAATTGGGTAATTATTCACATCTGTGTCGAGACATAGATGTATTTCAAAAACTTAATGCAGATATAGCAGTTTTAATTAAATCAGGACTTAAAATTATTTTAAATCTTTGCCTTGAAGTCATTCGCATATACAGGGTTGTGACTTGCGTAACACATCATAGGGATTTAAATGTAAAATTCATAACATGCGATTATTGGTTCCCCAAATTATTTTAGAGCAAAAATGTATTAAGGTTTTTTTTAGAAACGCCAATCAACAGTAGGTATTGGTTTTCAATTTTTTTCATATAGACGGAAAATTGGAAAAATAAAACCCGCAACTTTTTCAATAATCTGCATTGCCATGGAATTTTCTAAAACAAAAAGATATCCAGTTATCAATTAGCAGCAGATCGAAATGGATCTTATGATCGACTTGGTTACTGTCTTGCAGTTAATGGTGACTTATTCGAACATTTATTGTAAATTGTTATATTAGGAAACCGTTTTTAGTAATTTGGTCTTTCTTTATGTTGAATTCGCTGTTCTAATAAATGTAATACTTTTTGAGAATTTGATTTGTTTTATAGTAGACATTCCATGGCTTGACGGATATTGGCGTAGTTTTTCTATTATAAAATTCCATGGCATCACAGATTATTGAAAAAGATGGGGGTTTTAATTTTCCAATTTTCCGTCTTTATTATGCAAAAAATTGAAAACTAATACGGTTGATTGCCGTAAAAAAATTTTTCCTACAAAAAAACTTAATACATTTTTGCTCTAAAATAATTTGGGGAGCCAATAATCGCATGTTGTGAATTTTACATTGAAATCCCTATGATGCGTTACGCAAGTCACCACCCTGTATAGTGTGTGACGTAACTGGTTAATATCATGAATCTTCTTTGGACACCGGTACAGATTTAAAATAATGTTAAGTCCTGATTTAATTAAAACTGCTATATCTGCATTAAGTTCTTGAAAATACATCTAAGTCTCGACACAGATGTGATAATTACCCAAATCATATAAATTTCAATAACTTTTTTGTTTTTTGATCAATAGACTTAAACTTTTTTTATACAGGTAACTTTTGATTCTCCATAAAAAAAAGTCTCTTGAGTTTTTTTGATATAATGTATACTTTACGAAATATTTAATAAATTCGAAAAAAATCAAGATGGCGGCCATTTTTTTCCAAGTTCCACCAATGCAACAAAGTGCGATTTTTGAGGGGTTAATAAGGACCCTATTGAGTACTCATTTCCGCAGAGATCACTTTGTTACTAATTTTTTCTACCTCACTTGTATAAACCTGCTTAGATTCACCAGCCTAGTGGCAGGGGGCGAGTGTCTTTGAGGGCAAAGCTCTTTGAGTTCGAATTTCCCTGGCGGGGAATGGTACTTACGATGGGAGAAATAGTAATTTATTATTTTTAAAATTCCCTAAGCCGTCCCTGTACCTGACCAAGTGACTTCTCCAAGGATATAATAAGAAAAGGTGGGCCCATTGATAATTTATACGTTCATGACGTTCATTTGAATTTATAAGCGCACAAATGTCATTCCTAATCAATTCAATTACAACAAAGTACGCTTACTAAGCAAATATTCGATTCATACGCAACTTTTAATGATGCGTCGAGCATATAACCTACAGCTTGACCTTTTGTAGATTCGTATCATTCCATGGTTTGTTATGAACCTTTAATCAGCACCATGCTTTCAAATTAACTGTTAACAACAGCAGGAGGATTAACAGCTTTAGATTACTTTTAAAAACCGTATTTTTGCCGTATACTAGTCAAGTTTTATTAAAAGACACACACAAAAATTCAGATTTATTACAATTTTAAATTAATTCCTAAACGTACGTGACTTTCACCAATTTGAACATGGCTGGTAAGTACTTACACTAATTTTTTCCAGAATTGTAAAAATTGACGATTCATTCTAACCTAGAACCAAATCCCTACGATTACCTACTCAAAAAGGTCATTATTAGCGGAAAGGAGTATAATTACTACGACATAGCCTCCTTGGGTGAGAAATACAGTAAGTCCACTCGACTTTTACGGACCCTACTACACCCAAATTTTTCTAGAACGACTACCCTATTCGATACGTATCCTCTTAGAGTCGGCCGTACGTAACTGTGATAACTTTCAAGTAACGCAAAAGGATGTTGAGAGTATCCTCAACTGGGAACACAACCAACGGGACGAAAATGGTATCGAGGTCGCGTTTAAACCGGCTCGTGTTATTTTACAGGTGAGTCTTTTACAGTGAGATTGCTTGGCAATGACGTTTTTTGTAGGATTTCACGGGCGTACCTGCGGTCGTCGATTTTGCGGCGATGCGAGATGCGGTCAAGAGACTGGGGGGTGATCCCCAAAAAATTAATCCCATCTGTCCGGCCGATTTAGTTATTGATCATTCGGTGCAGGTCGATTTTGTGCGATCGTAAGTCTTGCTCGATAAAAAAATTGAGAAGCAGGTTAACTCATAAGATTTTTTGAAAGTTGCGTAAGGTTATTACATTTCGTTTGGTTAGTTTGATGGTTTTTAACGTTTAGCCTCCTCTTAAGGAATGATAGCCCTAATGAATAGTGAGCGACTTCATGCTCATTACAACTTTTTGCTCGTTCAAGATCTAGAAACTTAGATAAAAACGAAAAGAGTAGAATATGTTAAAAGGACTTGATTAATGGTTAATTGTTAAATTTTAATTGTGCAGTGTTTTCTTTGTTAAAAGAAATAGGTAGGTCCCTATGGTCCTATCACCGACATTTTGTTTACAATCGCCTTTTTTTATTGTGTTATCCTTTGTCATTTTTTTTGTGCCTGACCCTTGTGAGAATGAAGTTAGGGTTGTGTTAAGTATCGTTGGAATATTGTAAAAGGTGAAAAATAGCCAAAAGAAATTTGATTCGGCTCAAAGAAACACCAATATACAGGGTCATTCTTGACCAGCGTCAGTTAGAAACATATGGAGAACCTTTCAAAATGTCTTAAGGGTTTTGGCATATGATGAATTGAACTAAAATATCTTCAAGATGGCGCCACTTCCGTAAATACCGGAAGTAGACATCAACTTTGTTATTTTAAATAGGGACCCCCTATTTTTTCTTCATTTTCGGATTCTACGTCGAATTTGGAGTACAACGATATCCCGTAGTTAACCTTTTACTCCAAAGGCTTCGTCGATATTCAAGTTTTTATGTCAAAAATTGAATTTGCAGGGGTAATTAAAAAAATTTGTTAATCGAAAACGGTGAGAGATATTGCAAAACAGTTTTCACTGCTTTATAATAATAGTTTATTTACCCAACAGGCTGGAGCGGACTGGGTACTTACGGGCCAGGTGCAATTGCATAGGTTACGAGCCATTAAAGTATTAGTGTAATGAAGAGGTGGGGGAGGGGGGGAGCGGGAGCTCTGTTGCACCATACAATTTTTTGCTTCATTTTAAAGTATTCCTTTCTCGAAAATCAAATAGAATAGTTTTTTTAAATTGCAGCTATAACTGTGTTTCAACGGCAAAAAATGATGAATGCATTTAAAAAATTATAAATTATAATTATAAATTTCCAACGGGCCATTACGACCTACAGGCCAGGTGGTAATCGCCACCTGCCTCCACCCCCCCGGGCCAGTCCGCCCCTGCCAATAGCAACAACCAATGACAGTGTAATTTTACATCTTCTAGCATACTTTAATACATACAGGGTGGGCCATTAGTGTGTGGGTGGACGATTGTGGGTTTATTAACGCGCATATTTAAAATTCATTGTGGGGGAATGTTGAAGGACCCTTAATGCTACAACCTAAAAATATTTTCACAGAAATTGCAATTGTTATAAAGGGTGATTTATATCAAAGTTGCATTTTTTAATGGAGCCCCCTGTATATTATTACATATTTTGATTTGGTCAATTTTAGTGTGAGTTTATGACACATGATATCTAATATAAGTCGTTTAGCCGCAATTCGTCGTTTTTTCAAAAAGTAGATGTCCAGTAAAAATTGAATATCGCAGTTATCATAAAACTTAGAAGGCTGTGACTTTGCAGTGGTACTAAACATGTTAAAAATCACTCCGTCAATTTTCAAAATTTCGATTAAAGGTAACTTGGTTTTTTTAAATAGAACCACCAAGTTTTTTTACCGCATCAAATGTTGGATTTTATTACCTTTTTAACGATATAAGCATGTCAATATTACATATTTTTTGTAATTCAACATTTTCTAATAATTCACAGTGTCTTTCAATTTTCAAAGCCTCTCAGTAATTAGAAGGCCGTTAAAAATTATAAACAATTGAATTTATAAAAAATTTACTCCACATAAAACAAAACAAAATCTAAAAAATCGAAATAAAAAGTTTAAATAAGAGAAAAATACTTATTTCAATAAATGTTCAAGACCACACATTTGTCGATGGGTTTAGAAAATCATTCTTTGACACGACGAAGCGCCTCTGGCGTTATGGATGTGAAAGCATTACGAATGCTCTTTTGTTATTGGGACTTCTTTGCGTACAGTTCCTTGCACGTATCCCCATCAGAAGAAGTCCAGTGGTGTAAGGTCTGGAGAGCGCGTTGGTCAATTGTTGAATCAGCCATTCTTTAACGTTTATAGCAAAATGAGGTAGGGCACCCTCGTGCTGAAACCACATTTCTTCTACGATGTGCACCAGAACATTGTGTAGAAGAGCAAAAAATTGAATACTTAAAAATTTAAGTCAAGAGCACCGTTTAAAATATGTTATTCTAATTCCATTTTTCTAACAAATTAACTTAACTAATCAACAACATAATTGTAAATGCCAATGAACTAAACTTTTACTTACTTTTTGAAAAAACAACGAATTCCGGCTAACCGACGCATTTTAGATATCATGTGTAATAAAAAAAGTCACTAAAATGGACCAAGGAATCGAAATATGTAATACATATCTACTAGATCAAAAGTGACAGCCCTTTGAATTTTTTGTCCATAACTTTTGATTGAGACGTCTAATCGAAAAAGTACGAATCGTTTTGGATTCTACGCGCCAAAATTAATAAGAAACAGTTTTTTCCCGAGAAATTTTGGTGCAGTCGATTTTTGGTAAAAAAGGAAGGTTACACTGCCTTTTTTTGACTCGAAGAAAAAAATTGTCTCAGATCGACCGGAAAAGAATATTTTCTTATAGAATGTAGCCTGTAGAATCCATAATTTCAAACAGTTCCAAGATCGGGCTACTAGATCAAAAGTTACAGCCCTTTGAATTTTTTGTCGAAATTCGTTTTTTGCCCATAACTTTTGATTGAGACGTCTAATCGAAAAAGTACGAATCGTTTTGGATTCTACGCACCAAAATTAATTAGAAAAAGTTTTTTCCCGAGAAATTTTGGTGCAGTCGATTTTTGGTATAAATGGAAGGCCATTTTTTTGGCTCGAAGGAAAAAATTGTCTCAGATCGACCGAAAAAAAATATTTTCTTATAGAATGTGGCCTGTAGATTGTATATACAGGGAGTTCCATTTAAGAATGCAACTTTGATATAAATCACCCTGTATAACAATTGCAATTTTGTTGAAAATATTTTTAGGTTGCAGCCTTAAGGGTCCTTCAACATTCCCTCACAATGAATTTTAAATATACACTCGTTAATAAACTCATAATCTTTCACCCACACACTTATGGCACACCCTGTATAAGTTGGTATGGGGAATCGAAAACGTCCTATTTAGGTTTTGATCTGTAACCAACTTCGGCTGTTGAGGGTGTCAACGGGGCTACATGATATGACGTCATAATTGATAATGACCACTTCACCACTTTTATGACGTTGGCTCCCAAACGTTGGGCCCTCAATTTAATTGGAAAAAGTGCTTGTTTTGATACCCTCTACCATCCAATTTTTTACATACATATATGTATGTAACACCCTGTATATGCGACGAAACTAGTCAATTTTATAACGTTTGTATACTACGACGCCGTTTCAATTTGTCGAATAACACATTATTTAAAAAATTTTTATTTTCACCGGGAGCTACAGCGACTACACCCAATCCAATGATGTTAACGAATTTTTTTGATCTTCTAGTTTTTTTTTGCCAACGAAATCCATGTAGCGACTTCTTTGGAACATCCTGTATACACCTAGGAAGTCGAATTTTTTTCCATAATTTGGGTAGTGAGGAAAAAATTTTGAAATTTTTTAAAACAATCTATTTTACTTGGGAGGCTTCAACTTTATTAGTACTAAACAGCTTCTGATAAAAATAACGCATTTTTACCCTCCACCCGGGGCTGTTAGAGTGACCCCCAATTTCTTATTGCGGAATTTACATTTTTTTCTTAAGTCTAACCCTTTAGGCTCCACAAGGCGTTAAAGTTCACAAACCGACACATTTTTTCAGAATCGATGCGAACTTGCTTCAAAAAGATCTCGAGATCGAATCATTTTTAACGAAATTAAAAATACAATTTGAGTAAACAGTTGACTTTACTATACAATAATATTTGCTTCTCAATTTTTTTTATCTTCGAGGCCAACTTCAGAGTTGTAAGTACAAGGATTTTTTTTAGGGCGGATGCGTTACAGAAAAATCAGGATTTGGAGTTTGAACGCAACAAAGAGAGGTTTATGTTTTTGAAGGTTTGTTTGCTTTAAGCCTTGTTGACTAACTGTAATTGCATATGTTCTAGTGGGGAGCGAAGGCGTTCGACAATATGTTAATCGTCCCGCCCGGCAGCGGAATAGTCCACCAGGTCAATTTGGAATATCTCGCTCGCGTCGTATTTTCCGACAAAAACTCGATGTTGTACCCCGATACCGTCGTCGGCACAGACTCCCACACGACCATGATTAACGGATTGGGAGTACTCGGATGGGGGGTCGGTGGAATTGAAGCTGAAGCCGTTATGCTCGGGCAGGCCATCAGTATGCTCTTGCCTCAGGTCGTCGGTTACTACTTGCACGGGTCGTTAGGCCCGTACGTCACATCAACGGATCTAGTCTTAACAATCACAAAGGTACCAAGTGCTTTGGACTTCTCGATTCTACTCGTGTTTTTTTGTAGAATTTGCGTCAATTGGGAGTCGTGGGGAAGTTTGTCGAATTTTACGGGCCAGGTGTCGCAGCTCTGTCCATAGCGGATCGTGCGACAATTGCCAACATGTGTCCGGAGTATGGTGCTACAGTCGGCTTTTTCCCAGTTGACACGTATTCGTTAGATTATTTAATACAAACAAGTAAGCGTCAAGTTTAGCAGTCGACTGTTAATAAATTACTACATTTTTGCAGATCGTTCCAATCAACAGATCGAAATGATCAAAACATATCTAAGTGCTACCGGTCAATTGCGCGACTACGAATCTGGAGAGGAACCTGTATTCAGCGAAAGCGTGTCCTTGGATTTGGCAACGGTGGTGTCATCTGTGAGTGGACCGAAACGACCAAACGATCGGGTTTCGGTAACCGACATGAAAGTCGATTTCGCAAACTGTTTAAGAAATAAGGTAAGTATTTTCATATCGGAGTTATCTTGAGGAATCGCTTTCTGCGATTTATCAGTTACATTTTGGAAATGTGCCGCGAAAATATACAGGGTGAAACAATAAAAACAAAATACATTGGTTTCTTTGGCAAGTTGCCAACCGGTTATTTTCACATTTCTTAACAAGCAATGAAAAACTAATATAATATCAATATGTGAAATTTCTCATGTTTCATTTGTTTGTATTTTTTTGACAGTTCCTGATCCACACAGCATCCTGTTCCTTTTGACCTAGATGCCTGAAAACCAATCCTATAAAGAACCAAATTCCAAGCGATTCACCACTTCTTCCAATGTTTATTGTGCACACCGATGGGCAGACACACAACAGTGCTAAACCATAGAGAAACCTTAATAAAGAAAATCTGGTCAATAGGTGGTCTAGGAATCGAATTGTTATTCATGAAGTTGAAAGTGCAATCTTTAATTTGATTTACTGTAATTTTGTACTGAGCAATACAAATTTTGTGCTAGTATTTGATTTTGATGTAAAATTGAAAGTGGTTGTGTTACTTAATCTGCTATTTTTTGTTGTAAATGTTGTAATACTGGTACGGTTTTTGAACCAGGCTCCAACTTCGTACCTTCATTTGATATTTGGAAATTGGAATTCGTTTTTTATCTTAATATTAACTCATTTTGTGCTACTTTTTGGAATTTTGAGTTACTTGAGTGGTTCTTCAAGTAACACGTGTCATTAAAATCCTCTCTCTCCATTTTTGTTACTACATCATACAAGTTTTACACAATATTTTTTCTGAAACTACAATCAAAATTAAAAAATTATCGTATGCAAAAATGAAGGTTGACACACAGCAATGCGGGTTATGTTTCAATTTTAAATGTCATGATTAAGATTAACGCAGCAATTGTTTTTTACGAGGTTTTTTTACTTTCCTCACTAGAGAGGAAAATCACATTTTCTTTTCTTCACCCTTTTTAGAGACGAAAGTAGGTGTTTCGAAAGTAGTTTCAGGAAAAAATTTTATTATTTCTCGAATCTTGAAAGAGTTGAGAATTATTTTCAGATTCCAAAAAAATTAAGAATCTTTTCTTTATCGACACATGAAAACAAATTTTATAAATACTTCATAATGAGTATTGAAAGTGAAGTACAGAGTGGTCCAAATTGGACACTTTCTTATGATAACATCCTTTATTTTAAGAGAGAGAAAATGGACCTAATCTGGAGTTCAATTTTAAAGAGAAAATCACGGGCACAAACAGAATTCAGCTCTAATTGTTAGGCCGCGAGGGGGCGTTTCTCTAATTTAGTCGATTTCTTTAATGCCCCATAACTTCCTTATTATCAAAGATAATTGATTTTGGCAAAACGTTTCTTACAGCACTTTTTATGTAGAATCCATCGCGATACACAGTTTTTATACGGAGTGCTTGGTTTTTTATACGACTCTAAACTACATTTTTTCATACGGACCACGCTATATATTCGAAAACAGCGTAAAATTTACTTAAAAACATGATTTATCAATTGTTATTTTTATATTAAATTCCATGGCTAACACAAGATGGCAGGATTGTTTAAAACGACAATTTCTTGGTTATCTGTATTATTTATGTATACAGGGTTAAGAAAAATTTCGAGAACGTTCGATTATTTCAATATATACAGGTGTTATCAAAAAACGTTTTATATAAAAGTTGTAGAGCTGTTAAAAATCTGCACAACTGTGATAAATTGAAATATAGGGTCGCCCACAAAGTTGTGGAGAATGGTAGTTATATTTTTTACAACTTTTATAGAAGACATTTTTTGATAACGCTTGTGTATTTTGAAATAATCGACTGTTTTGGTAATCTTTCCCTTTTACACTGTATATTATATGACTTATTTGTTTTATTCACAAAAGTTTTCACGTTTTTTGTGTGTTATTTTAAATAAAAAATATTTGGAACTAACAATTAAAGTCACTAAATATAGAAAGTACCGCAATCCATTGGGCTCGTGTGTTAGAGAGAGAACGCATGATTTTTGCCCAAAAATGGCGGAAGTTACCAGATTCTAGTAACTTTAATGTTAGGGATTTTCCACTTGTTTGGAGATATCTGTATATATTTTTATAAAACATGACAGTACTATGAAGTTAGGTTATAAAAAATGACAGCTATTCAGATTTTATTTGTCAATTTTTTTAAGTTGGCAACAAATTTGCCCAAAAATGGCGGATGATTGCGGTACTTTCTATAGGAGCGGATAAACATCATAACAAATACCAACGTTGCCAAATTTAACCATCTGATTAATGATATGTTAGATAGATTTGTGGTTATGTTTCTTCGTCTTTATCAGCTTGATGTTTAAGTCTCGTAAGTCTCGTTTTGTGTGGTTTAATATCTAGTGACTTTACTAACAATTAAACGATCCTGCCATCTTTTGTTCGCCATGGAAACCTAGATGTCTGCAATAAAAAATATATTCTAATAGGTAAAATGCAATATTGCAAATAATATTTAATATAAATATAACAAGTTAGGAAATATTACGCTATTTTCAAAAGCCTTGAGAAACGCCCATAAAAATTGAGCTCTATTCTATTCATTCTTAAATCAAAGGACATGAAGCCATCGAGCGAGCGAACGTCTTCTTTTAAGCCCTTTGTTAGGACCTCTCTCAAGAGGCGTAGTGTCTCGATATCTGACGGTACCGAGGAACCTTCACCTGAAACCAAACAGTGGTTAAGGATGACTCAAAACAACGCTCTTTGTTTAGTTAGAACATGTAAATGCTCTGAAGGGTAAATGGTGAGGCACAATGGGCCTCTGGTGTGCCTAAGTGCTGCCCGGTCGGGCTCCCATGCGCATGGGGCGAGCGTGAAAGATGTAAGCTTGTAGCCGCTATCCTCGTCTAGAGGGCCAGAGATAAAACAAAATGCTTTGGTATATAGTGACCTTACTCTGATGTATAAACATGTAATTAATTAATAAGAAAAAAACTTGAATAACCTAAAAATTATGAACTTTAAGCACAGGACACCTCGTATAAAAATTGAAGAGAACACAAAACACAATCGAAAATTTGAAAAATAATAGTTATGGTACTTTGAATAAATGACATTGAAACAAGTACAAATATTCAGGATGTTCTATTTAAAAAATCATTTATTTATTGACACCGTAAAAATGGGACACCCTGTACATTCAAAAATAATTTCTGTAGATCCCTAACCATCTATAGTTGACATTTGTACACAAGTTTTAAAAATCTTTTTTACCGGGTATAATCTAGGAAACACGGACGCACTGTTGCAGGACCCTGTATATGACCAAATACTAATAGCGTTTTCGATTGGCAAAACTCGTGCTGCACGAGTGCAATTTTTACGTTCCATTGGTAACTTTAGGGCAATTTTCTGTGTTCCATTGGCAAATGTGATGCAACAATTACGCACTCAGTGCAAATTTCGACGCACGAGGTCCGAGAGATCGTGCAGCTAATCTTCAAAACAAAAATGTGCGACAATTTGAATTTGTTTCTTCCCTTGGAGAGTTTTTTGTCGTCATCTAGCACTAGCGAAGATTATGAACTAGCCATAACTTCTATTTTACAAAAAGTTGCACTTACTCATTAAACTGAACGCCAAAAATTGGTCCTTTACAGGAATTTCAAATTTATATTCCTCATCGTTTATCATAAATATACTGAAATCGTTTCAGTCATTTTTTAGAATAGAGATTTGTCGATTACCGAAATCTAAATGAGGTTATGGACAAATGACAACAAATATTTATGTTCCATTGAGAGCAATTTTCACATGAATTTTTTCAATTTCTCGTGCAACACTCGTGCAGTACGAGTTTTGCCAATCGAAAACGCTATAAGTATTGTATTGATTCGAAAATTTTTAGTGGCTTTTTAAAAACTGGGAAATTTTGCAAATTGTAACTTTTGGCTCTTCCGTTTCAATAGGTTGCTGACCCCTGCTCTATGGCAAATATAAAAAAATGTCCGTCATTTTTTTTTAAATTTTTATATAATACACTGTAGTTTCGACTAAAATAGGATACACTGTACTGTATGGGTACACTAAATTCTTGTTGTAGGGCCTAGAATTTTGTGTTGTTGTGCCTACATCGAAACACTTATCCCATGCCTGCTTCGAATTATAAACGACACCAAAAAATGGCAAAGAACACTCACACATAGAATCTAATGGTGTAGAAACAATTTTTTTGAGAATTAGTAAGGGGCTATCAAAAATGAGTTGCTGTCGTCGCCTTTGGAAGTTCAAGTTAAGTAATTTCCCATGTAAACAAAAATTCCAAAGGTGACTCGACAGCAACGCGATTTGTGGCTATGTGATTTAATTCCACTTGACACAGTTCTTCACATATAACCGATACTGTAAAAGATTCCAAGATCCACGCAACAACCCTATTTCATACAGGGTGGTGCCCTGCATCACGCATCATAGGGATTTCAATGTAAAATTCATAACATGCGATTATTGGCTCCCCAAATTATTTTAGAGCAAAAATGTATTAAGGTGTTTTGTAGAAAAAAATTTTTTACGTCAATCAACCGTTTTAGTTTTCAATTGTTCGCATAATAAAGACGGAAAATTGGAAAAATAAAACCCGCATCTTTTTCAATAATCTGTGATGCCATGGAATTTTATAATATAAAAACTACGTCAATNGGAAATTTTTACGTGTAATTAGTATGCTTGACCTTTAGGACTGTTTAACTATCAAATACGAATTACTCTAGAGAAGTAATCACTTGTAAGGTAAAGAGCTCGTTACTACGATTAACTTCAACACCTCAAGCTACCGATTATAGTACATCATTTCAGTACCGGCTAAAATATTTGAAAAAATTGTATATCAACACATTTTTTATAAGGTTAAAAATTCTATCTGTATACAACAACACGGATTCACCGAAAATAGGTCAACCGAAACTAATTTGGCAACATTTCTGGATTACGTAGCAAATGCTCTAGACAAAGGTATACAAGTAGATGTCATATATACCGACTTTGTTAAAGCATTTGATAAAGTTCACCATGGAATTTTAATTAAAAAATTAGAACATTTCGGATTTTCATTCAATTTACTTACATTCTTTAAGTCATATCTGCAAAATAGACTACAATATGTATGTATACATGCTAAGGTGTCTGATCCGTTTCGTGCTGTATCAGGAGTACCCCAAGGAAGCAATTTGGGCCCGCTACTGTTTCTACTTTTCATTAATGACCTTCCTTTAAATATCAAATACTCACGCTGTTTAATGTTTGCAGATGATTTAAAGATATTTAAAGAAATTAAGAATGTTGATGATGTGCAACTACTTCAAACTGATGTTGACAGTGTCGTGGCTTGGAGTAATAGAAACAAACTTTACTTTAATATCAATAAATGCAAAAGCATGACGTACACTACAGCGAAGAAGGGGTATACCGAAGCAGATTACTCTATGCACCAACAAAAACTGCAAACTGTAAAAGTAATTAGGGATTTAGGAGTAGAATTTACAATTACCTTAAAATGAGACGAGCATATAAATAACGTTGTTAATTCAGCACTAAAAAATTTAGGGTTTCTAATACGTAATACCTCCGAATTTCAAAATATCGTTTCCATAAAAATTCTCTACAACTCCCTGGTACGATCTAAATTAGAGTACGGCAGTAGAGTTTGGAATTCCGGTCTACAAATCCATAAAAAAAATAGAGACAGTTCAAAATAAATTCTTAAAATATCTACATTTTAAGAGGTACTTACCCCCAATATGATCAATATCGGGAAGTTAGAGAGGAAAATCATATCATGCCGTTAAAATATAGGAGAGAAGTTGCTGATATTTGTTTCATGTACATACAAATTGATAAATAATAGAATTGACTGTCCTAATTTGCTATCACTTGTGAATCTGTATGTTCCAGCTCATAAAACCAGACCAAAAAGTATATTTTATGTGCCTACGTGTCGAACCGGTCACAAATTAAAATCGCCAATGATAAGGGTAGCCATAACCACCAATGCATATATTCACCAGACCAATTCTAATATATATTTAATGTAAACTTAACATTATTTAAAAAAGGAGTTATTGCATATTATTATGATAAAATCTAATAGGTCACGAGCCAGGAAACTTGAACGAGTGTCCGTAATGTCTTGTTACATCTTTGATATTGCATATATGGTATTTGTTTTTTTTTTTTTTAGTATTGTTGTTTTGTTACTTTTGTTTGTTTAAGTTGTTAAAGCCAAAACCGTTGACTGCTGACAATGTAAAAGGGCAAGTCCCGTTTTGTTAGTAAATAAAATAAATAAATAAATTTACCCACCATTAATAAGGTCACCGTCGCCGGCTCCTCCACTTCTGCCAGCTGGAGATCAGCATGTATAGTAAGTTTATTGAAATGTTTGTTAAATCGGTAATGTCATATCTCTCTTTTCTTGTGTGTAGTACCACCACAACAACTATGGCGGTGCTTCCAAGGGGTGGAAAAAACCTGGACCAAATGCTTCAGCTCTATGGATTTGGTGGAGGAGACCCATGCGGCGGCAACTGGAATGGGAGCCCATCAACGCCGAAACAGGTTGCGGAGGCGACCTACGCGAGCCTCCTTAAAATGGCTCCCGAGTATGAAAAAAAGCTGCTTGATGCCCGGGCCAAGGTGTCCAAATTGGTCCTCGACCTCGAAGAAGCGCGGGAGGAAGAAAGCGCCATAGATCAAGATGTAAAATATCTCAACAATTTTATGTCATTTTTAACGCACAATTTGTAAAAATAATGTAATAAAAAAATAACTGAATCGTAATTATTGACATGAAACCAACACACAATTGCCCAATAGCTTGATGAGTAACTTGCCCTGAAGCGTATGTTACAAAAGGTGCTCATGTTAGAAAAGTTGTCTAACCATAAGGTGTAAAGCAGTTGTAATTATTGTTAATGAGTATGTATTAATGAAATACATACGTCAAATGAATAAGAAAGAGTAAAAATACGAGTGTGGGTGATAAATCGGAGCACCCAAGGGTGGGTGGGTAAGGGGGAGATAGGAGGCAAAAGCAACGCCTTTTAGTGTGCATGATCCTAGCGACAATGATACGGGTTTAGAATCTGAACAAGATAATGATGAGTGTCAATTGCGCGAGTCTTTTACGGATATGCTGAAAACCCCAGATGCGGCGGTCGTCAAAGCCACCAAATCTGTTCGAAAACCTGCCATTAATAGCAGGGCACTCTTGCAAGTTATAAAAGAACGAAACATCCGGCAGATTGGGAAAACTATAAATCAATACGAAACTTCGTCACATCCGAAGTAAGAAAAGAGCAAATATCATATTATAAAACACGCTGCAATGATAATATTACTAACATGTGGAAAGACTTTCAACATCTAAAGACGCGTACTAAGTCTGAAATTCCACAACACTTAGCAAATGTTAATGAATTAAACAAATATTTTGTAGAATCGGTACCTGTCTCTAACGTCAATATGACAACTGCTAAAGGATTCTATGAAAGTCACGTGGCTAAAACTGTCAAATCAGAGCTGGAATTTACTACAGTATCGGAGGAAGAGGTATTTAAAATAATTTTATCCATCAAATCCAAAGCGAGTGGGGTGGATGGTATTAATATCAGTGTTATAAGATTATGTGTGCCGTACTTGCTTACAGTCATAACGCATTTAGTTAATTACTGTATTTTACATTCGGTCTTTCCTATGTGCTGGAAGCAGACACGGGTAACACCTTTAGCAAAAACAGCCACACCCACCAGCCATAAAGATTTACGGCCAATTAGCATATTGCCAGCCTTATCCAAGGTTGTTGAAAAAGTCATCTGTGTGCCAACTATAGTCAGGTCGGGTAACAATTGAGTATAAATAAACAGTGCATCATGGTACAAGTTAAGTAATTGTCGTATTTAATTATCATGCTAGCAATATTTTCACATGCTAAATACGCCGATATGGTATTCATTTACGGTTTCTGATATGGAAGTGCCAATGGGAGCCATTGCCGAGTATCCCCATAAATTTCGAAATAATAATTATTATAATAATTAGACCAGTTAACAAGAAATGTCAGCCAAAATACAAAGGCTATAAACGATCTCAGACATATAGAACAGCATAATACATCGCTAAGTATTACAAATCAATTGAAAACTCTCTCTCTTCAAATAGCAGAAATCAAAACAACAAATGAAAATTTAGCAAAAATAAAATCTGTCATATATAAAAGGTGTATGTTTTCGTGTTCTATACAATTCGAAGAATATATCGACTGCTCCAACGAAAACTGTCGTAACTCCGAAATTGTCGCTATTTGAGTTACCACTGTAACCGAACTTAAAAAGTCCGCTTCTTTTCCTACGAAAACTGTCGTAACTAAATGTCGCTCCGTGACTGCGCAAACGCGGTGTCTTAAATGTCGTAACTCAACTGCTGGAGAATTGTGCGACGAAAATAGTCGTATCTTGAGTTACGACTATTTTCGTAGGAATCATACACGCCAGTTTGCTGGAGTGCTTGACTTACGACTCTTTCGTAAGAATCATGAACGCGAGTTGTGTGGTGGGGCGAGTTACTCACTACTCAGTCATTAGCGGAAAAGCACAGTGACGGTTATTTTGTTGCATTGTTTATTATTATAATTGAAAATGTCGTTGAGAAGTAAGCGAATTGTAGAATTAGCTTCTAAAATTACGTGCCTGGACAATAGTGACGATAATGCAAGAACCTCCCAACAGGCCTCCACTTCTGGTAAAATGAAACATTAATTTCTTTATTAAACTATTAGCGAATTTAACTGATTTGTAGCAACTGGAACTAAAATTCTTTCTACAGAATGTACCTTGGATGATCATAACAAGGAAAATGACGGATCTAATAATTTGGATAATGAAGATGGTTGTCTGGAAAATGAAAGTGGTAAGTCATTCTATTTACAAAGGTATAATAAGGCATTTCAAAGCACCAAAATCATAATCTTAGTCGTATCTGTAGCTAAAATTTTGTTTTGTCGCATCAAAAAAAGTTTTGACATTCTTTGGGTGGCGGTACACTTGTGTCTATAAATTTTGCTCGGAAAATTTGCGAAACTAATGCACAATAGGGTTTCTAAAATCGTATGACTATTTTCAATCATTTTCTCTTTAAGACATTGAAGAAACCGAAGTACTTTCTGGACGCGACTATTCTGAATGTTCAGATGATGATCCTACCTACATACCCGAAGAATACACAGACAGGGACAATATATTAAGTGAAAACGTTCAGGTTATTATAGAAGATAAAGAAAATAATATACTCGTAGAAAAGAAAAAGCGCAGATCATCAGCTAAGGTAAAAAAGTTAAGTAGGAAACGTATAAGGAATACTGACCAGTGGGTAGATACTCTGGCCAAAAAAGGGTTAGATTCGGGAATAGAACATGAAAACAGGAAGGGCAAGTTAATTAAAGCTAGGAAAATAGGCAAAGGGGGCGCAAGTTCATGTAGATTTAAGTGCCGAGATTTGTTGGTTGCAGAAAAGCAAGAGTCAATATTCAAAGACTTTTGGGAACTAGGTTCGCACACACGACAGTGGGATTTCGTATCTCATTGTGTAAAACAAGTTAATAAGAAACAGGTCACTGTTGCCCAGAACTCTCAATCACGCCGAAAATTTTCTCGAGAATACTACTTTAAAATTGAGAATCAAGAAAAACGAGTATGCAAAACAATGTTTCTGCATACCCTAGGAATTTCGGAGAGATGGGTATCTACAGCATTATCCAAAGTAAAAGATAGCGGTGCAGTTGAAGAGGATAACCGTGGTAAACATCAATCACGACCTAACAAAATTAATGAAGATGTGAAGGAGATTGTTAGGGAACACATAAAACTGTTTCCGGTAGTACCATCCCATTACACAAGAAAAAATACGCAGAAATTGTATCTTGAAGATGGACTGAATATCCAGCGTATGTACCGATTATACTTGGAGTTTGCAAAAACGATGGATGTAACGAATGTTGCTTCTTCCAGACAGTATCGTGATATATTTAACGGGGAGTTTAATCTAAGTTTTTTTAAACCGAAGAAGGATCAGTGTGATCTCTGTATACGGTATACTGATACTGATAAAGGAAACCCCGAACTCCAAGAAAAGTATGACAGTCATATCACTAACAAGAATAGTGCACGTTCGTTAAAGGATCAAGATAAACTAATAGCACTAAACAATAAATCGATTATTGTTGCGTGTTTTGATCTACAGAAAGTTTTGGTAACCCCAAAATCAGAGGTCAGTATTTTTTACTACAAAAGTAAGTACGCAACCTACAATTTTACTGTATACGATATCGGCAACCATAAAGGTTACTGTTATGTTTGGCATGAATCTGTTGCTAAACGTGGAGCTAACGAAATAGGTAGCTGCTTATGGAAGTTTTTAGATACTGCTGCAAATAACAAAAACATTCAAGAAGTAATCTTCTATTCGGACAATTGCGGAGGTCAAAATCGCAATCGCTTTATATTTTCCATGTTCCAGTTAGCAGCATGTGTTTTCAATAAAAAAATTACGCATCGATTTTTTGAAAAGGGCCATACGCAAAACGAGGGCGATAGCATGCACGCCGTCATCGAAAATGCTAAAAACAGACAACAAGTTGTGTACACCCCTGAACAATGGGTAACCCTAATTCGAATGGCAAAAGTAACAGGTACCCCCTACGACGTGACTGAAATGTCGCAAAAAGACTTTTATAATTTAAAAAAATTGGTGATCGGTCAAAATTGGAAAACAGACGAGGATGGTCAGCAACTAAAAATTAGTAAGGTCAGGGAAATAGTGCTTCTAGGAAACCCAGACGGAAGAGTTGATTTTAAATATGAATATACTGATGCTCCAAAATCGTTAAACATTTACAAAAAACGAAGAGGGCGCCCAAGTTGCTGTTCAAGAGCTGATCTCCAACAGCTTTATGATAAACCACTACCAGTGGACAAAAAGAAACTGGATGGGTTATTGGAACTTTGCAATAAACGTGATATTCCCGAGATGTACCACGGATTTTATAGATCATTATCATATAATAAGGCCAAGAATACTACCGAGGAAACTGTTAACAATGAAGAAACTTCCACTGAAGAACAGTCAGAATAACATTATTTTGAGGCGTTTGGTAATAATGTAATATTGTTAGATTTATCTGTGTATAGAGCTGTAGTTGCAAAAGGCAACTTTCGAAACTCATTAAAATTACCTTTTATATTTTATAAACAATAATAACTCTGCAATTTTATGTAGATGGTGTGTTCAATAAACTTACGACAAACACTACATGTTTTATTTCTAAGGTACATTCCGATGAAGACTGTCGTAACTCATTGTAAACACATAAAAAATAAGAAATTTTGAAAATTGTATTTCAATGTTCATTTTTCATCCAATTGTATACCATTACACAAAAATTCAGTTTCTTGTACAATTATGCCGATTTTATGTGAGCTCTGAAACTTAAAATGCTATTTTTCGCAAATGCGCAAAAACTGAGTTACGACACTCTTCATTGGAGCAGTCGATATATAATAATACGGCGTTATTAAACATAGCGGATGATATTATGCGCGCAACAGACAAGGGTAAAGTAACGGTATTGGTGTTGTTGGACTTTTCGAAGGCATTTGATACGATCAACCATGGTTTACTTCAATCTATGTTAAAGTATATTGGTCTTCGTCCTACAGCTGTAAGCTTAATTGCTAATTACCTTTGTAATAGGACACAAATAGTTTCAGTAGGCGGTAATATTTCACAATCGTTACTTGTGAAGAGCGGTGTTCCGCAGGGGTCTGTATTGGGTCCCATATTATTCACCATATACATATCGACATTTCCTGGCGTTCTTCATTCTTGTTTGTCTCATTTTTACGCTGATGACACTCAAATATATTACTCTTTTTTACCCAATGAGGTGCACAAAGCGTGCGTAACAATGAGCGATGAGTTGGAGCGCATGTCAGGAGTGTCGGCCGCGCACGGCCTCCTATTGAACCCTGATAAATCGAAAATGGTACTTTTCGGTAGTCGTCAAAATAGGTTTAAAGTTATGGATAGAATAAATATAACGATAAATAATAGGCCGTTGACGTTGGAGGATAGGGTGAATAATTTGGGGCTTACCATGGATTCAGACTTGCGTTTTGATCATCATGTTTCAAAGTGTTTGCGAAGCGGTTATGCAAGTCTAAAACTTATTTATCAAAACCGACACCTATTTGGCACACAGCATAAGAAACTTCTTTGTAACACTTTGGTACTATCAGGCTCAACTACTGTGACTCTCTGTATGGTCCATGCCTTGGTTCGGTTAATATAAACAGAATTCAGAAGCTACAGAACTCGTGCTTAAGGCTAATATTTGGAATAAGAAGGCGAGAACGTATTAGCCATAAATTGGTTGAACTCGGATGGTTGAATATGAAAAATCGTCGCCTCTTGCATGCCACAGTCTTATTCCACAGTATCATAATAAATAAAACACCGACTTACTTGTACGAGAAAATTAATTTTCGAACGGACGTGCACAATCTTAATTTGAGGTTCAAGGGATTGTTAACGCCTCCGATTCATACAACACAAGCGTTCAAAAAATCTTACACCTATTATATTACACATGCGTATAATGAACTACCCATGAACCTTAAATCGCTTTCCCTAAAAACCTTCAAATCCATTATTCATAAAGATCTGCTTAGGGTACAAACAAATACAGTTTAAGTAAGTGCTCCATTTCTAAATTTTCACATATTTATACCGGTAAGATTATAGTACACCTAAATTGATGCAATTTATATTTATCTCTTTTTTTTTTCTTCTTCTTTTCTTATGTAATTCTTTTTTAATGTAATTTTTCGTCTTTTTCGCCGATCGGAATTCAAATAGCAAGGTTAAGTGTAAGAACAGATGGCATTATTTTACTGCTAATCTGAACTTCGCCTTGTACTAACTTTATTTGTTGTTATTTTTCTTGGTTTTTTTTTTAAATAAAGGCAATATTATTATTATTATTATTATTGTGAAAAAAGATTTGTTTGACAAACAGGAGAAACCAATTACACCTAAAATTCATAAAACGACATCTTTGAATAAAAGATCACTGAAGAAACAGTCTCTTGATCTTAGTGAAAATTCTGGGTCTAGCTCAAAAATCACTCCCAAGGCACCACCAAAGTCTAGACAAGCAAAAATCAAGGAATCGTGGTATTGCAAGTTATGCCAGGAAGATAGAGTTGCCGATATGAGGGTATGCGTCGCTTGCAACGTGTATATGCATGAAGAATGTCTTGGCCTTACAGCTAAAGATAAAATACCAAATTTTCTTTGGCCTGAATGTGACCAAAATACCTAATAAAAATTCGTTTGTTTGAGATTTTTTGCTTTTTGTTAGGAAAATATCGTCTATAATGTGATATAGCATACGAATTAGACCATGGCCATATTGCCAACACCCTGTCGGTAATATGACCAAGTGCAATTTTTTTTTCAGAATTGTTAAACTTTTTTGTAATGAGCTTTATGTGTGTGGTTATTTTTTTATTCTGAGCTTGAAGATCTGTTTTAGTTAAAAAAAAAACTTGAGTTGATTTAACGATCTGTACCTAAGAAAATAGTAAATGACCTTAGATGGCCATATTACCTTCACTTACCTTACAGATTACGGGAAATGTAACCTTGCAAAAGTTGGCGAGTGTACTTTTCCATCCCGAAATTAGGGCTATTGCTCAATTTACACAACGTATTTTTCGCACACATCGAATCGATTAAACGAGAATAAAGTGCAAATATTTAATTAAACTTATTTGACAAGGTGCACATTTATTCGTTTGTAATTTAACTGCGCCACTTCGAATAGAATCAATAGATAGACTTGTTGCCGAAGAAAAAATATAAAATTTTTTTTATTTAAGGTCAGTTTACTACAACACCAATTTGGGTTTTTAGCGTAACACAACGAAGTTGAGGTAACGCTTATGTGCTCGGTTTTCAGTCGTCCGTCTGTTCCATCGAGATCTCGGCCCCTGGGCCACCAAGAGACTTCGGTTTTTCGCTAATTGATAATAATAATAATAATATTTAATTGACTGTAAAATATGCTTACAAACAATATAAATAAACATAAGAAACAGTAAACGTCAACAAACTTCACACAAATGTACCGAATTGCATGTTTAAATACTCGGCCACAGAATAAGGTTCGAGATCGTAGAGCAGATCAGTGATAGCTCTTTTAAAAGCGTTTTTAGATGTAACAACTTTTACCTTTGTGGGGAGTTTGTTAAACATCTTCATTCCAGCATAGTAACAACTCTTCTCTGTACTAGTTAACCTATGGATAGGCATGTTATAATTTACTAGATTCATACGTGTGTCGTAAGCATGACGTGTTTTAGCGCCAGAGAACAGATACTTGTGTTTGAATATAAACATAAGTAGCTCGTAAATATAAACTGAAACCAACGTGAATATGTTATGCTGTCTAAAATAGACTCTACAGGATTGATGACGTAATAGTTCAAACATAGTTCTTACAGCACATTTCTGGGTAACAAAGACTTTTATGACTACAAGCCCTTTGGCCCCAGAATATTATGCCGAAACGTAAGCGACTTTCAAAATTAGCACGGTAGATTGCTTTAAGCGTATCTGAACCTACGTATCTTCTCATCACCCTCAATGAATAAATCAGAGTTTAGCTTCATGCACACGCGATGGATATGTTCCGTCCACTTCAGATCCGCTTGCAAGGTTACACCCAAAAAGTCAGTTTTATACGCGAGAGGCAGGTCCATACCGTCTACTTTAATGGTGTCCATGGTTGAGGGTGGCACTTTCATCGCGAAAAGAACACAATTTGTCTTCTTCTTGTTCAGCAGGAGTTTATTCGTATGGAAATATAACTTTAAGCAGCTGCTGTGATCTATATTTACTGATCATTTACAGTTGTGTTACGCGACAACACCCACGAGTGGGTTTTGAAACATTTTTTTATTGCTACAAATCATTTCTTCAAAAAAAGTTTCAGATATTGGAACTACTTAAAACATGTTGTTTTGTTTGTATTTAAGATAATATTACAACAATACCACATCTCAAAGAGTGAAAGCATTAAAATTTTAAGTTTGTTTAACAAATTCAACTGCTTCGTTTTCTGTGCTAGTGAGGATATTTATTAGTGTAATTTATTATTGATGTCTTGTTAATGTTTGAGTACAGCTACCTTACGTTTGAATTTTTTTCATGTTTTAAAACTAGTGACTTGTCCTTGATTTTCCTAAAAATAAGTAATCTTACAAAATAATGAACAAACGAATTAATATGGTCTTTACTTTCCCACTTATCGAGTTCAGGATCTATTAACTCTTTTAAACGTTGAACTATTATCTTACAAATATTTATTTCACTTTTATGCACCTCAAATACTTCGTGAAAGTTTACCAACATTTCCTAATTATGCTATTTTGAAGGTCTTTTTAAAAATGAAATGTTTTCAGCACCAAAATCTCTTAACAAAATTTGAATTACAGTAGAATCTATTAATTCATCTTCCGATTTTATTAGTAGACTTTTGCATATCTCGCATTTTAATAATTTTAAAAGCCTGTAAGCAATAAAACCCGCCACATAAGTATTATTGCAACTTTCCAAAGAAACTTGCGGTGGACTATCGCAAGCACTTGAAGTTTGCGGAACATCCCGAATTTCCTTTTCATCTTCTGTTACTTGGCCCATCTGATGTGTGAAAGTGGGAATTCCATCGGGAGATTCAAGTGAAGCGGCTTCCAATTCAATTACTTCTCCAAAGTCTTCTTCACAGTTGCTAGACGAATTTACTTCTTTTTGCAGCCGAATAAATAGCTATTTGTATAACAAGGGAGGAAAGTTAAAGATTCCCTCCCGCGTGTGAAGTTTAATGCCCGACGCGAAGCGGAGGGCAGTAATCACACAAGGGAGGAATATGTACTTTCCTCCAGAGTTATACATATGATTTTTTCTACTACCTCAACTTTAATTTAGCAAAGATTTTTACGGTAAGATGACTGCTTGCCATCTAGTTACACTAAACAATTTAGGATGTATCCATGGTGAAGTTATGTTGCCATGGTAGCGGTATAAACAGTAGTTTGTGTACTGGTCGTTTCTGTAATTTTTCATCAGAAAATATGGAAATAGAAAGTGATTTAGAGGAAAATATTCCCTCAGACATTTTAGAAGAAGCTAATCAGGCATCGCTTGATCTACTGCCTGCAAAATCTAGGGACAGATACGAAAAAGAATATAATGCTTTCAAAAATTGGATAATGGGGAGAAAAGTCAAGAAAATTGCTGAAGAGGTAATCATTCTAAAACGCTTAAACCATCGACGATGTGGAGTAAATATTCAATGTTACGTACCACATTACTTATAAACGACAACGTTGACATTAAGTATGCAAAAGTCATAGCTTTGCTTAAACGTCAAGGAAATGGGTATAAACCAAAGAAAGCTAAAATTTTCTGTAGGAATGACCTAAACAGATTTCTTTCGGAGGCGGCCGATGACTATTACTTGCAAATGAAGGTAATTATGAGATGATTTGAATTTGATACATTATGAGCGCTATATTTTGTTCGTAGGTTGCTTTAATTATTGGACTTTCCGGAGCTTGCCGTTGCGATGAGCTAATTAAATTGACATTGCATGATATTCGGGATAATGGAGACATATTAGTTGTGAAAATACCCGATAGCAAAACAAAAATGCAAAGAACATTTGTAATCACTAACGAAACCATTAATGGAACAAGTGTACATGGAATTTATAGAAAATATGTTTCATTACGCTCTGTTAAAACTGAACATACAAGATTTTTTGTTAATTACATAAAAGGGAAGCGCACCATCCAAGTCATAGGGAAAAATACAATTGCCAAAATACCATATAAAATTGCAAGTACCTCGAGCTACCAGATGCAGAAGGTTACACTGGGCATAGTTTTCGGCGCACCTCCGCGTCTTTGTTGGTTGATGCTGGAGGAGATTTATTGAGTTTAAAGAGACACGGAGGATGGCGCTCTACCAACGTAGCCGAGGGCTATTTAGAAGAATCAATCGTAAAAAAAGTAAAGTTTCTAACCAAATTATATGCGGAATGCCCTCCACAAAGGTTTCTGGAGAACATCAAATGAACTCTACAAACATTGAAAGTACAGGTTTCAATGTTAATCAATCTTCCTCACCTTTTTCTGGTAACATTACTTTCAACAATGTTAGTAATTGCACCTTTAATTTCGGTTCTTCTACTAGCACTGAGAATAACAAGTACATTAAATAAAGTTAGTTGTAATTGAAGGGTATTTTGTTTACTTATAAGCTTAGGTACGTTATATGGAGTTGAGGGAGGAAACACTTTTTTCCTCCCTTAGGGAGGAAAAGTGCAGCTTTCGACCCTCAAAATGGGGCGAGAAATGATATTTTCTAAAGAGGTAGTAGGAAAAATATTTAGTTGCATCGATTTTCTAAAATTTTGTACTGTCGGATATGGATTGTATCCCCCACGATGACGAGCAACAGAAAAAAATTTTCGAGAAGATCTTGATTTAAGAAGCCCGTTCCCAATATATAATAATAGATTTTTAAATCTTCAGATCTCAAATCTTCCCACAATAATAAAATTGCGTTAATTCTCATTCCAAACCCATCAATACAATAAATGTTATGTCTTCTCTTTATACTCGTATATCTTCAAACATGTCCTTACCACGCCCGACTTTTAATCCAATTAAGAATTTGGTTCTTTTGTTCCCTTATATGCCTTACGATTGTTACAAAATCTAATAATACAAAATTGATGTTTACATAATACAGCACAATAATTGCTTAGTATTACCTGAATTGGGAGTGTTCTATGTGAGAGTCAGAGAACATGGGAGTGTTTGTCCTTGAACTGTAAAGCAGTGAAGAGGCTGATGATGGTGTAGAAAAATTGTTGTGTAAGCGAGAACTTGTTGGAGTTATCGGGGTAGGCAAATTAATAACTTGCAGGTCAGAAAATTGTCTTTCTGAAACAAAATAATGTAAACAATAGGATAAGAGACGCACATTCACACAAGATACAATGCAATCAAAAATGAGTGGCAGTGGAGTCCCTTTGGAATTTTTGTTTACATTGCAGGGCATACTTAACCTTCCTAACACCGAGTGATTTTTAAAACACCAAGCACCGGATGGGGTCCGCGCGGACCCCAATCTTATTTTCATTACAAACGGACATTATCCTGGAAATCATTCTTCAGTGCCTGTTTTGTTATGTAGAAGAATTGATCTTACATGAAAAAGAAGGTGGTAGAATAGTTTATAAACGTATATTTGTGAAAAAAAGTATGGAAATAGCTCAGAAAATATATACACATATTTACATTTAATTTTCGCATTCATTACACACAGTAATTGTTTTTCCATGTAATGGACACACATTTCTCTTGCATTGGGAACATGTGCTTTAACCTTTCGGTCTTTGCCCCTCGAGCACATGACATCTTCCTTTTTTTTTGTTGGGCCGTTTCCTGTTGCTCCTTGTTTTCTCGTACCTCATTTTCCATTGTTTCTAGTACGGCAGTGATGCTACTTTTCGTTGATTTAGACAACCTGGACCCTGTAATAGGGTCGATTATCCTATGACGCATATAAGGGGCTAATATTGGTTGTTCCACTCCGGATGAAGTTTTATCCATACAACGAAAGCATTTATGGCTGCAATATCAATTAGATTCATAAACAGCACAGCTGGCCACCGTTTCAATTGTCTATTGCAACTATACTCTGCGACCATTTTGCCTAGGGTATCCACAGCACCCTTGGTGGCGTTGTAGTGCAGTATAATCTCCGGTTTCTTATTTTCTTCTGCAATGGTCGCATCGTGATGTTCGGTAGAAAGAAGTATGACACTTTTGCTTAGTTTTGGTACATGTGAGACTATGGTGACTTCCGGTTGAAATGCAAAAGATGACTGTATAGGTCGGTCTCGAGACGACAGAAACTCTCTAGGGATACAAGCCTTATTTCTTCTTAGAGTTCCGCATAAGGTCAACTTCTTGTCAACTAATTCCTTTGCCAGCTCTAAAGATGTCAAGAAGTTGTCTGCTGTGATACCATGACCTGGATTCAATCTGGAAACTAAGTCTAACACAACCGTTTTCCCTTGGTCGCGTTCCGGAGTATTGCCAATTTTTCCAAGATATACTTGTAAATTTCTGCAGTATGCGGTTTCCACGTCGGCGAGCACCCATATTTTCATACCATATTTGGCACGCTTACTCTTCATATATACCTTGAAGGGACACCTGCCACAAAATGGTACGAGCTGTTCGTGCACAGTAAGATAAGAATTTGGATTGTACAATTTATGGCAATTTTATTGCAAATTTTTCAAATACGTCACGTATTGGGGCCAATTTATCCTTTTCTTTCCTTTCTTGTCTCGTGTCGACGTCATCGAATCGCATCCAACTGGATATTTGGGTAAAACAATTTCGAGACATTGTTGCAGAATATATGGGTCGTTTGAAGCCGAAATCGTCTTGCCATAACATCTTTCCTGGTTCACGATTGGCTTTTAGTGCTCCGGAAAAAATCAGCAAACCTATGAAAGCGTGAATTTCTTTATCATCAACATTTTTCCACGTTGTTTTGTTTTCAGCAGTATTACGGTTATCAATTTCTCGTGAGCTCCTTTGATTGGTATACGTCAGAATGTCTTCCACTATGTCACGAGAAATGAACAACTTGAAGACATCTGACTTGCTGCTGGATTTCACAATTGATCGATGCGGACCTGGTGGGAATCTTATTATATTCTCGTCACGATCTCTTCTATGGACGAGAGGTTCTTTCAGCCAAATGGTCTCATCTTTTCCATAGAATATGCCATCGTAATCAACTTCCATAGGGTCCTCTTCATCGTCCGAATGGTTGGTAATCTCATCATCTTCTTCCACAATTTCCTCCAGGATATCTTCTGTATATGATATGTCGTCTCGCGTTTCTTCATTATCAAGGACACAGCCTTCAAATTCTTCATCTGCAGATAACAATAATGTTAGAATATAGTACATACAAAACTGATCAAATTTTACTCACCGGAATTAGAAGCAACCGACAATTTCAAAATTTTTGCGAAGGGGTAACAAGCGCCAGCGCTAACGTATCAGAAAATGATATAAGAAAATGGTTTTCAGAGATAGACTTATACATTAAAGAAAAAAAGTTAGAGGATGTTATCAAAGATCCATCCAGAGTTTATAACGGCGATGAAACGGGTTTTCAAATCTGCCCCAAAATTCAAAAGAAACAAATAAAGGTAATGTTTTCTTTTTCCGCAAACGGAACCATATGCTGCCCTATGCTAATATATTCTTAAACGAATTCCTGAAAAGATTGCACTGACTGTGAATTCTTCTTGGGGTCGCAGCGACAATGGCTGGATGACAGCAGAAACATTCTATGAATATATTGCGAATGTGCTGCATCCACATTTAGTAGAAAAGAATATTCAGAGGTCTTAGTGATCTTGCACGGTTTAAAGCAACGGAATTCAGAACTTTCCTATTATATTTAGGCCGAAATCTACACCACTACTACTAGATCTTTTAGCGATCTCACGAATTTCATAATTACAACCGCCGCAACGGAGTTTGCAGCACCGTCTCAATTTGTTCAAGAAATAAATAATGAAAAAGATGACTTTTTTGACTTCGATGATAATGTAGGTGATAATATAGAACGTTCGGATAATAATAATAATATAATAATAATTGTATTTATTGTTCAACAGAAAATATTTCCAATAACAGAACAATATAAAAATTTAGTATAAACTGCAGTGTAAGAAATATCAAAATATCACACAAGAGAAAAAAACATAATAAAATAATAGTATAAAACATTATAGAAAAAAAAGAATGAAGAGACAGAATATGTTAATTAAATTAATAATTTGCAGATGCCATGAGTGGAAGAAAACCTAGAAATCAAGGGAAATGAGTAAGTGATTGGAATTATTTATTCACAAGTAAAACTTAGTATAGTAGGAAGCGGGCTTGAGTTGATATCGCAGCGGTGACAGATGTTATTGAAGTTTTGTGACATGTTAATCGTTGGACATTTATAAAACAAATTAGTACGGGGAATTGGATAGGAAAAAGTAAGTGGGGATCTCGAAATTCTGGTAGGAACATTGAAACAAAGTTGGGACGTTAAGTAGGGACAATCTACTTGATTGTGAAGAAGACCATATAACAACTTTAAACTATTGTTAATACGCCTTCTTTCGATAGATACCATTTGAAATCTCGCCAGCAATTCAGTATGGTCAAAACCTCTTTCTGGATACACACCGTCTATTCTGAAAGAGATATACTTTAAGAATTTACGCTGGATGCGTTCAATTGTATTTTTATGCCTATCATAAGTAGGTTAATAAGGTAAAAGTAATTCGCTACCTTAACGATGCTTCAGTCACTATTGATAGCTTGGAGAATTACTCTGTGATTAAATATGTTTATTAAATACAATACATATCTCCCGTCGAGTGCCCCAGTTGAAAGAATGTTTTCTTTCGCCTCCATAAGTAACAGTCCTAAGAGACATGCATTATCCGACAAACATTTTGAGAACTTAGTGTTATTAAAAGCAAACAAGTGTTACCTTTAATCGAGCCTTTAACTTTGTATTTTGTGATTTGGCTATGCTTTATCCTTTGCTATATTTGAAATAAGTATTACTCTTAAGTCTTAACCCTTATCTCTGTATTACTTTGATTATAAGGAATTGTTATCTTTTATTGTCCGTAGGGGACGAAGACTCCTAATGATTTACGGTGCAGCGAAGATTGGAGAAACAAGATAGGCAAAAAAGCACAACCAACGTACCTTACACAGTTTCCTGCGCTAAACGCTACCGTGCACGCCAGTCAATTAAAGGAACCTTCCTTGGTGTTACTAAAAAATGGGAATTGTTGTATTTGTAGGTTTAGTTGCTGCTTACATAGAACTAAAAGCATATCGACAGTTTGCTAATCTACAAAGTGATATTTGATGTTTTAAAACGGCGAAAAGTTTAGTCCCTGTAGGAACTATAAAGGCAACTTAGGAATACCGGGCTGAAGCACTTCGCCAAAATACTTCAACCAAATATTGTGCTCGTCCAATCAATTGTAAATCGTTAGGACTACAGTTCCAGCTGGGTCAAGACCGCTAACAGAATACATCACGAGTGTACAAGTAACACTAACTACCCATAGCCACATATTAGTCGATACACATTTTATTGGCACACAGCTTCCATTCAAAAATCAATGAAACAATATTCCTTTGAGTTTGAATCAAATTCCAAAAACAATCAAAATATCTGAGTGTACTCATCAACTGCTTGGAGTTGGTATCTTTTCGCCCGGGGCTACAATTACTGCAATCTAAGACTTGCGGGCCATTCTTGGGACCTTCACGTACTACAATCGCAGACTTGCGAATGATTCTTGGGACCTACACGATGTACTAGTGAATAAAGTGTGTAAAAACCTATCTGGTACAGAAAAAGATTGTGCCACTCTTTTAGATTTAATTACTATTTCTGCAGTACTGTTATGTTTTTTGTTGTGAGGATTTGTTCTAATTTAAAAGCCATTATGCATCGTTATGACCGTTACTGGCGAAACCTGATCAACCCTATCAAATGCCCGAAGACACCGATTTAAACAAACCTTAGCTGTGGCTAAACAAACTTTTCAAGGAGTGCTGTCATTGGTATTCAATACGAGTTATATTTAGGAAGAATATAATAAATAAAACTTATTCTTCAAAAGTTTCTCTTGGATTCTTTTAGCTACCGAGTTCTACTATGTCCACAATTTCTTCAATGACCATTGAGCTTGATGTTTTTTAAGTCGCAAAACTCCATGAATTTCTTCCACTGCAATTGCTGATTTATAATTGTTTTTCGCGTTTTTTTGCCATTAACTCGCGTATGATACCCTCTGTCAAATATCCCCATCGATTCGACATCTTATTTTTTCAGCCATTTCACTACGTAGACTCGAGATACTAGTACCCAAACACTATCCTTCCACTTAAACGGCAAAATGCGAAATGATCATAAATGCAGTGATTCAGCTAATTGCCCATACCAATTTAATTGAGAAACCAATGTACATAATCGACAACTGGCATTGTATTAAACGCTAAATTGTCAAAAGAGCAGTTGCGTGAGATTTATTTAAAAAATATAGTTAACAGCAAGAGGGTTTTAGATTTGATCATCTGTTTTGATCAAGAAAAACCAGCTTTCAATTTTTTGAAATAGTTTTTAAGGGAGGATTAAGATTCTGAACTGGTGCAGACATGATCACATGTGATGGCATAGTCGTTGACTTCACCGATATGAAAAAGACCAACATCATATTTTGTTGCATTTACAAGAATAATTTTCAAACATTACTTTTCCTGGTTCTCGTTAAAAACTTTATTCCATGCTCGATAGCCCATAGTAACCAAAACATTTCCTCCATCCTCACCGTGTGCTTCTTTTTTCTTTTTAAACCTTGTTAAAGACACGTGACATAATTCATATTTTTTTGCTGCTACACGAATGGACAATGTGCCATTTTTACTTCGGTGTAGGCCTCTTCATATATTGATATGTCTTTGGTGCCTCTGTCAGTTCTTCTGACCTTCGTACGAGGCATTCTGGAATTTAGAACCCTTATTAAAAAAACGAATATTTTAAAAAATCGTTAAGTCGGGGTCGGTTGTAACGTTACAATCGCCCCTGACCGTACTTGTGGTTATGTGTCTGTGGTTATAGAAAACGAACTCCTACAAACTACAAGGACTGCTTATTCTATCTCAGTTTCCATTCACTAATAGGTACTTATACTCGCACTGAATACCTGACTTTGTTTGAAACTGCACCAAATCCTTTATTTCCCATCTATTAGAGTGAGCGAGATCAGATATTACCATGAGTGTCGTAGTGTCCGTGCAAAGTGATGGAGAGTAATCGAAAACGAAAATCTGGATGGGAGAGAGATTACAAGAAAAATCAAAAAAGACTTTAGCTGCAGGGGAAAATAGTAACCAAAGTTATGAACGTATAAACTTGTTTCTTTCTCGCAAATTAAAGCTAGATCGTTATATCTCATTTGACTCAAATAATAATAAAGGATTCTATTTCGGCGGCTCCTTCCGCAGATTTCAAAGTTGATTCCACACGCAACTGCGTACACGCCTTTCGCTTTTAAAACGCACTTAACTTGAATCTTCCACTGTT